TTAGATAAATATTACAGATATTAAAAAAATAAAGAGAAACTAAAACAATGATCAAAATTGGTAAGAAACTAAAAAATAAATTTTGAATAAACAAACAAAATCAAGAAAATTTATTTTCTATGCACAAATGAAGTAAAAAGTAAATGGGGGAAGATTAATAAATAAATTTTGGATAGTAAAAAATTGATTAAAGTAAAAAAAATAAAGAAACTATGTGAGAACGGGTGTGGCTAGTAATAAATTTTCTGTAGTCTCAACAAAAAGTCCATAACTTGAAAATTATTAAATTTCGGTTTAGGGAATGTTAATAGAGATCAATGCACAATTAAATTTTCTTCTATTTTTTCAATTGAAGTGTTTGAATTATTACAAATTTTTGGATATGTTTTTTTTTTCAAAATTTGAAAACACCAGGAAAAGGATCTAAGCTTTTTCTTTGAAACGCCAAAAAAAAAACAAATTCAAAATCTTAAAAAATGGCAGAGTTACCGATTTTTAAAATGGAAGGTGCAGATCCAAAATTTTTTGAAAAACTTCAAATATTTCAAAAACGGCTGAATTTAGGTATAGGGAAAGCTGATGAAAACTCCCTTAAAATAACTCGATTAATCCAGAAACGCAGTAAAAAATATACCTTTCCATTTAAAATAAGAAAGTTGAGACCGACTTCCGGTATAAGCGGAAGTGCCGCCATCTTGAAAATATTTTCATTTAGGAGGACTTAATGGTTTATGGCTATGTACCAATTTTCAAATAAATACGATCATTCAATAATCCAATACTTCTAATGTGGATTTAGACGTAACACCCTGTAGATAAAACTATGTTTGTATGGGCCACAATAAATTATGTTACATTTCTTAAGTACTAGTGACTAGATTTTCGACTCTTTGACGTAGAGATTTTTCTCTCTCAGTCAATTGAAAACGTTGAAAAATGAGCAAAAAACATTTAAAAAAGAAAACTTAAAACTAGTCAACACTACGTGTTTCATAAATAATTTAACAATAACAAGTTTTAACACAATTTCTAATTACACACGCAACTTACACTTAATTTTTTTATGTACTTGTCTTTGGTGGGATCTAGCTGTATGTGCTTGTATAAACACATGTAAAAATTTCGTAAATCATGACACTAATGATATGTTACAACTGAAATCACAAAACATGACATTTAAGTACATTTACACGTTTATTTAACCATAAATTAAAGTTAACGAATACCGAAAATTTACAATAATTCTAGCCTAATTTTTTAATATTGTCCCTCAAAGTGAATAAATACGGCAATAAATATTTTTTTCTATTCATCGGTTTAAAATATAATAACAGTTGAAGCTCTTGTTTTGTTTGTACCTAGCTAAATAGACTCGAACGCTAACACATACGTTGGAAATAACTATAACAAGTGTTGTCATAGCAACAATGAAAAATAATTGTCTGTCATTGGTTTTTAATGATGTGTTGTCATAGCAACAAGACGACTTATAGTCATTCTCAACGTATAATTCCTAATTTAGGCACAAACAATTAATGCAGACTTGGAAGAAAAAATTAATCACTGTCCGAGCTTGATTCTTCTTCTGGAACAGTTGCCGGTTTTTCTTCTTCTTTCGGTGCAGTTTTGACAAATGTTGCAGCGGCGTACGGATTGGGGGATTCACCCTCAGTGTGTTCAATGCCAACTCTAAAATTCGATTAGATTTTATGATTATGAAAAATTTAAAAAATCTTGTCACCTGTATTCGTGTCTGGCGAGATAACGAACGTATTTTTCAGGCGGTTCATCACTGTCTGAATTTTGTAAACTGACACTTCGACATGTCGTATGACTGACTTGTGTGGCGGGCATTGTGAATTCGACGTAACAAAATTCGGCTAGTTTGTCGGGCATTTGGTCGTAGCTGGTCAAGGCGAGCTTACAAACCATGTTATGGGTGGTGTAAGCTCCTGAAAAATTTTTGGTTAATATATAGGGTGTTTTTTTAATATTGCTAAAAATGGCAACCATGTATTCTACATCCAAAAATAAGACTAATTTGTCAAATAAACCATAGTCGTATAAAGCTTCCTTACGGAGATACAGAGTGTTTCATGATTAAAATTAAATTCTATTTTTTATTAGTTACGGTATGTAAGTTGCAATTTTTTTGCAATATTTTTTATTCGTTCTTGAGAAAAAAATCATTTAATTGTCAAATTGTCATTCTGTCAAAGATGTCTAAAATCTGTTGTTTGACATGATTTGGACATCCTTGTCCAAAAATTAATTTTTAAATAAACTGAATTGACATTCTTGAAAAAAAAACTTCATTTAATTGTCAAATTGCCATTCTGTCAGGGATGTCCAAAATAGTTTTTTTAATAAATTGAAAATAATTGAAATTTTTGACATGATTGGATCGTTGGACAAAAGTCATTTAATTGTCAAATTGTCATTCTGTCAAAGATGTCCCAAATCTGATTTTTAAATAAATCAAAAATAATTGAACTTTTTAACATGATTTGGCCATCCTTGGAAAAATCTTTATTTAATTGTCAAATTGTCATTCTGGATGTCCAAAATGTGTTTTTTTAAATAAATTGAAAATAGTCAATTGAAATTTTTGATATCTTTGGAGAAAAATCTGTTTGTTGCCATTTTAGAAAAACCAAAATTTAGTTTTTAAAATAAACTGAAAACAATGACATTTTTGATATATTTTTGGACGTTCTTGAAAAAAAACTTTATTTGTCAAATTGCTATTCTGTCAAGGATGTCCAAAATAGTGTTTTTAATAAATTGAAAATAATTGAAATTTTTGACATGATTGCGGATTTTTGTAAAAAAGTCATTTAATTGTCAAATTGTCATTCTGGATGTCCAAAATTTGTTTTCTTAAATAAATTGAAAATATGTGCTTTATTGAAATTTTTGACATCTTTGGAAAAATGTCATTCTATCAACGATGTCCAAAATCTGAAAAAACTTTATTTAATTGTCAAATGGTCATTCTGGATGTCCAAAATCTGTTTTTTTTTTAATAAATTGAAAATAGTCAATTGAATTTTTCATTTATTTTCAACATCTTTGGAAAAAATGTCATTCTGTCAAGGATGTCCAAAATCTGTCTTTTAAATGAATTGAATATAATTAAAACATTATATGTTTTGAATATCTTTAGAAAAAACGTGATGTAATTGTCATTGCCATTCTGTCAAGGATGTCCAAAACCTGGTTTTTAAATAAATTGAAAATAATCGATATTTTTGACATAATTTGGCTATTTTTGAAAAACACTTTATTTAATTGTTAAATTGTCATTCTGTCAAGGATATCCAAAATCTAATTTATAAAGAAACTGAAAAAATAAATTGTTGCTGTTTGTGGCCATTTTTTTTTAAATCTTTATTTAATTGACAAATTATTATTCTGTCAAGAATGTCCAAAATCAAGGTTTTTTTTAATAAATTGAAAATATATGAAATTTTTAACATGATTTTTGAACATCCATGGAAAAAACGTCATTTAATCGTCATATTGTCAAGGATGTCCAAAATGTGTTGTTTTTTTTAAATAAGTAAAACGTGATATGTTTTGAATATCTTTGGAAAAAACGTGATGTAATTCTCAAATTGTCAATTCTGTCAAGGATGTCCAAAACCTGGTTTTTGAAAAAATTTGAATAAATAATTGAAATTTTTGACATGATTGGGTCCTTGGAAAAAAGTCATTTAATTGTTAAATTGTGGTTCTGTCAAGGATTTCCAAAATTTGTTTTTTAAATAAATTGAAAATAATTAAAATTTTAGACATGATTTGGCCATCCTTGAGAAAAACATTTAATTGCTATTAAATAAGGTTTAAGGGACCCCTTTTTCCCATCCCAATGAGTCGCACATGTGTCAGCTTGTTCGGTTGCTATAGAACTTTTGATGTAACTATGGTAATAAAAGGAAATTTGTCACGGCAACAATGAGAGGATTCAAGCCAGTGGCGGGTATTTTTATAAAAATTCAATTAAATTTTTTATTTTTTCACCTTGGCCCTCTTTTGGCAATCTCGGACACCGCCAAACTATAGCTCTGTGTTGGTGCTCATATTTCGCCTGTCCTGACGTCACTTCAATCAAACTTTCCTGTAAAGTATCAACAGTTCCTAAAATCCGTTCAATTCCTTTAATTTTTCCAGTTCTAGAAACTCAAATTTCAATAAAAAATGACACAATTGTACAAATAAATAATGAACCTTCTATGTGCCGATTTGACAGATCCGTATCTGAAATGTTTCTCAACTCTGAATAAATAAATCCAACATTCGGGAATAGGAAATCGAATCATGACATCTTCACAAGGGATTTGACCCAATTTTCGTGAAGCGAATCCAGGTACTAGAACATCAGCCCTTAATTCAACCCTGTTTCCGGTTATACAAATTGTTGCTTTGAGTTGTAAAGGCAATTCGCGATTTTTGGGGGGGCGTACACGAAATCGCATCAATTCGATATAGCAAGCGTCGGGCGGTTTAAATCTAAAACAAAATTAATTAACCCAAACGAGTCGCACATGTGTGTTGTTTTGTCATGTTGCTATGGAAATCTACAATGTAACTATAGCAACAAGATGATTTGTCATGGTGATACCAGTGGCGGGTGTTATTTTTCTTACTTGATAATATGGGTTTTTTGGTACTCGTCCTGTTGTACGCATGAATGAAACTCGACTTCTTCTAATCGAATCCATTCTTCTGTTACTACAGGAATAATGTCATGTCGTCCAACAACTTCTTTTCCTTGTCGTCTCATATCATTGACACCTAATTCAATATCGGGCATTCCTGTCAAAAAACCAAGAAAGAATAACCGAACTCTTGCTATTTGTTTTTCAACATGACCTGAAAAAAAAATGTTTTTTGTGTGACTATACAGGATGTTCTGTCTAAACCCCACATTAGAAGTATTGGGAGTTGGAATAATCATATTTATTTGAAAATTGGTACATAGCTATAAAACATTAAGTCCACCTAAATGAAAATATTTTGAAGATGGCGACACTTCCGGTTATACCGGAAGTCGCTCTCAACTTTCTTATTTTAAATGGAAAGGTATATTTTTTATTGCGTTTTTGGGTTAATCAAGTTATTTTAAGGGAGTTTTCATCAGCTTTCCCTATACCTAAATTTAGCCGTTTTTGAAATATTTGAAGTTTTTCAAAAAATTTTGGATCTGCACCTTCCATTTTAAAAATCGGTAACTCTGCCATTTTTTAAGATTTTGAATTCGTTTTTTTGGCGTTTGAAAGAAAAAGCTTAGATCCTTTTTCTGGTGTTTTCAAATTTTGAAAAAAAAAATTTTTGTTTAATGAAGGACATAATTTTGTTACACTCTCCATAAATACAAAATAAATTACAAAATAAATTAATTAAATCAAAGTTTGAGTAGCTTTGACTCTTCATATTTTGGCACTATTTGTCAAATAATAAGTCACTGTCGACGTTTCTTGAGAAACAATTTTGACATTTTTGATTACCATAGCAAACTATACGAAAACGTAATAGATTTTCGACAGTCTTAATAAAAAGTCACCATAACTTTATTTTTTTAAATGTTATTAGCTCTGAGTTAATTTAGACTTGATTTTCTTTATTTTTTTTACTTTAATCAATTTTTTACTATCCAAAATTTATTTATTAATCTTCCCCCATTTACTTTTTACTTCATTTGTGAATAGAAAATAAATTTTGTTGATTTTATTTGTTTATTCAAAATTTATTTTTTAGTTTCTTACCAATTTTGATCATTGTTTTAGTTTCTCTTTATTTTTTTAATATCTGTAATATTTATCTAATTTTATTATATCAACGATAAATAAAAAAAAATGTTTTTTTTGTACCTACTCTGATTTTTTTTTTATGGTTGCAATTTTTTAATAGAGTTTAGCTTTTTAAAATGCATGTTTTTATTATATTATTTTCTAGGTTTCTTTCTACATTTGTTTATTTACGATTTTTACGATTGTTTATTTCCTCCAATTTTTTGGTTTTACCTAATTTTATTTTTTAATTTTTGTTTTCTAATTCTGTTGCATTCAAAGTTTGTTTTGGCATTTTTTTTAATTTACTTAAATAGCGAAAAGAATGGAGGGAAAAAGAAAAAAAAATGATAAACGAAAAAATAAAAAAAATGTTTCAATGAAAAGTGCTAAAAATTTGTCGAAATAATTAAAATTAAGCTATTTTAGACATACTTTTAGAATTTTCTTTTTTGCTTTGACAAACTTTCTAGGAATTGTTTATAACACTCCAAAACTTAATAAAAAAAAACAAATGTTTCACCTAATTTTGCAATTTTTGATCTTTTAACGATATTTTTCAATTTCAATAAAATTAAAAAAAAACGGTTTGGATTTCCAAAAATAAGAAAAAAACCCATTTCTAAATTTAGTTTCGCAATTTTCTGCATTGTTTTAGTTAACTTCTCGAATTTTGTGAATTTCTATGTAAAAAATGCTTTGAATTTTTAAAAAGAAACAAAAATAACGCATTTCACTTTTGAAATTGTTTGCGTTGTTTGGGCAAATTTCTCTCAAATTTAAATAAATAGTAACAGAAAAGAACAAAAAATGCTTTTTTCTTATTTGTTTTTTGTCCAAATTATTAAATTTAGGTGTAGGGAATGTTAATACAGATCGATGCAGAATTAAATTCTCTTCCATTTTGTAAAATAAAAATTGGGGTATTTCATTTGGAAAAATTGAGTTATGAGTATTTGAATTATTACAAAAGTAACCTTCAAATTTTAGGGTTTGTTTTTTTTTTTTCAAAATTTGAAAACACCGTAAGAAAGATCTAAACTTTCTCTTTCAAACGCCAAAAAAACGAGTTCAAAATTGTAAAAAATAGCAGAGTTACCGATTTTTAAATTGGAAGGTGTAGATCCAAAATTTTTTGAAAAACTATATATTTCAAAAACGGCTAAAAAAGCTGATGAAAACTCCCTTGAAACAAGAAAGTTGAGACCGACTTCCGGTATAAGCGGAAGTGCCGCCATCTTGAAAATATTTTCATTTAGGAGGACTTCTATGTACCAATTTTCAAACAAATAAGATTATTCAAACTCCCAATACTTTAATCTGGGGTTTAGACAGAAACTGTAGAAAAAATTCAGTACTTACCTTCAGAATCTTGCTCGACGTATAACTCATCAACTAGAGTAATTTGCACCTCTTCCATTTTATAATGCAATGCTCTATCTCTATGTGCTTGCAATTTAAAGAGTGCTTCTTCAATACTACTCGAAAACTGTTTCAAATCTTCATAGTTTAAAGATCCCAATTTCATCAATTGTGACACTTGTGGTGCGTGTTCCACCGGAAGTCCCAACTTTTTCAAATCACTTCCAAACTCTTTCACCCCTTGGTAATCCCCCTGAATGGCATAGGCCGCAAATTGGCTCAATTTATTCGTGATTCTTTCAGCTTTCTTCACTTGACCTGGCCTAACTCCTGGTCTTTCTTTGTAAAAAATATACTGCAATTTAACAGTGAAAATTTTCCCGAATTGGTCGTATTGTTGGGCCCCGATTTCCGACACGGAGTAGCACGGCTGAAGGGGCAACTCCTGAAAAGGGTCTTTATCCGATTGCTGGTTGTAAAGTTGCAACAAAACACAATCGGCTTGATGGACAATCTTCACGAAGATTTTCTTCCAGAATCTTTGACCGGTGATTTTTTTCTTGTTTGGTTGGCGCAATTGCATTTCCCAACCGGCGTCGGTGTAGATAGTCCTGGGGAACGGCTCCAACGGTTGCGAAACGTCTTCGTCGAAGAGGGGAGTGGGAAGGGTTTCTTGCGAATCAGTACGTTTGATTTCGAATGGTACCGCTGGTTCTTCTTCTTGGGTTAGGGTGGTGATTTGATTGGGTTCGGTTTGCTGGTCGAAGGGGTTGAAACGTGGGGATGTGTCGTTGAAGGCGGCTTGGGTTGGTACCGGAGGCGGGGCGATGGTTGGTAACGCCCCTCCGCTGTACTCCTCGTTCGATTTTGGCCTATGAGCAAAAATTTCAATTTATTTCAAATTTTGGACATCCTTGACATTTTGACAATTTGATAATTCAATGATGACGGTTTTTCAAGAATGTCCTAGACATGTCAAAAAGTTAATTTTTTCTAATTTATTAAAAAAAACAAATTTTGGACATCCTTGACATAATGACAATTTGATAATTCAATGATGACGATTTTTCAAGAATGTCCTAGACATATCAAAAATTTA